CAGTAGTAACTGTAAATGATGTTATTCTAAGAATCTATCCGAATTGTTGAATTGAAATTTTTTTTTATTATATTTTAAAATATTGACAAGAAAACTAAAACATTTCATAGCATCAATATTAATGTTTTATTTATTCTGTTGGATTAACATTTAATAATGATTAAACTTAAAAACGTATATTTATTTATAGTTGGTTCAACACTGTTGAACGAATCGTCATAAAAATGATGATAAATATATTTAAACATCATTATAATGTCTTTAATGTCATTAAAAGTTTGTAATGAATTTGATAACTAGGAATTTGTTTTATACAGCAGTAGTTACTGTAAATGATGTTATTCTAAGAATCTATTCGAATTGTTGACCTGAAAAAAATTATATTGTATTTTAAAATATTGGCAGGAAAACTAAAACATTTTAGAGCATCAATATTAATGTTTTATTTATTTTGTTGGATTAACATTTACTAATGATTAAACTTAAAAACGTTTATTTACTTATAGTTGGATCAACAGTGTTAAACGAAACGTCATAAAAATGATGATAAATATATTTAAACATCATTATAATGTCTGTAATGTCATTAAGTTTGCAACGAATTTGATAACTAGGCAGCAGGAGTTACTCTAAATGATGTTATTTACAGAATCTCTCCAATTTGTAGACTTGAAAAAAAATTACATCATATTTTAAAATGTTGACAGGAAAATTAAATCACTTCATAGAATCAATATTAAGGATTATTTTATATATTTATTTAGATAAACATTTAAAAATAATTTCAGAATATTAATTGTAAACATAAAATGAGAAACAAATTATGAATGAAAAATAACAATAAAGTACCCAGAAAACTTACTTTAACGTGTAACCGAATGTAAATCCTACTTTTGTTTTGATTACTTTGAATTCAAAACAAGATTGCGAAAATTTTGAATTCGTGAACAAAACAAATTCTGGTTTTACTATGAATGGTTGTTTCAGTTCAGTTGAACAAAATGTCAAAAAATAGTGATAAATATATTTATACATTATAACAATGGCTTTTAATTTACAGTTAAGTTAGTAACGAATTTGATAACTAGGAACTCATTCTATGTGGCAAAAATTACTGTAAATGATACCCTTTAATAACTTTGTTCAATTTGATTGATCTCAATTTCAAACAATAAAGTGTCTTTTTCTCGCAATATTTTTCTAAATAGGTTTTTATTTGTGCATGTTGTTTCCTTCTATCATTTTTAATTAGTCTGTTAGGATTGAAAAGATAGAATTAAGTTTTAAGCTTATAAGTTAAATTTAAAGTTTAAAATATTTTACGGAGTATTAATTAGGTTGATTAAAACAACTGCAACCTTAATGGAAGTTTATTATTAAACTTTGCCTAAATGAAAAAAAAAAATAACATTACATTTCGATATCAGTTTCTGGCCATTTAGAATTTAATAAAATTCAAAAAGAAGATATTTTTGTTTTCTAAAGATTTTGAATTCAAATAATTTTTTAAAATTAATTTTACAATCAATAATTGCTTCTTAAAAATTTCTTTATAGGTTTCGTTTTATATAGGCTTCTAGAATTTTTGTAGCTAAGCTTATTTCCGAATAAATTCAAAATGAGTTCACTATTTCATTTCCCGAAGTTGATAAAAATATTTCCAGTGCATTAAAATTTAATGTTCGCTTTGGAAGAAAAAAGAAAAGGAAAAGAAAATAGAAATATGACTAAAACACCGGCGAAATGTACGCTTTTTATTTCCGATATTCCCCCCCCCCCCCNTGAAATGGGGAAATAAAAAAACCATTGGATTGTCTTTTTTATCGCAAATCTTACTTCGCATAGGAAAAAGTGAGGGAACAATGAGAATTGATAATGACTTACATCTCATTAGCAAAGAGAGAACTAACTTTACTTACATCAACTTAATTCATGCTTGGAAGAATGGATTAGGAATTTCTCCGGAAAGGTTAAACAACAATTTAATTAATTGTTATTTTACCATATTTAACCTATACAGTCAAATAACCATAATAAAGATGGTATTTAAATTTTTAACTGTGAGAAAAATTGTTCATTGACTATTTTCAGCAAATATGGTATGTTGACACCACATTACCTCGGTTCATTTGACAAAACTCCACTCAACCACAACCTAACTCCAATACTCATTTTATAACATAACCTAACTCCAATGTTCTAAAATAATCTAACTCCATTCTGTCACTATTGGATTCTGGTTGAACGGGGGTTCGAATCCCATTGTTGACACCACAATGTCATGGTTGATCTGACGAAACACAACTCAACCACAACTTAACTCCAATATCCATTCCGTAACATAACTTAACTCTAATAATTATTTATATCCGTAATTTAATCATGTCATTAGCATCAGAAAACTATAATCAATAGAAGAATAGAGAAAATAATAGAAAAAATAATAACATTAAAGTGCATCATAAAAAGCATAAAGTGCATCAAATAGCAAGTACAAAAACCATTTTTTTCCTTTTTAGGATTCTGTTTAGATGTACTTAAGCTTTTTCTGATATGTTCATTTGTCTTTTTTAAAACCCTCCCTATCTAACATTATAAATGTGAATTTCAAATTTTTAATAAATCTCCGAAGCATGCAACATTTTTTTATGACAGTCTTTAATTCAAAAAGTCTTATACTGATCTACAAAATTAATTTTTAAAGTCTCTTACAACTTACATTAAATTAATTTCTACGGAAAAATTTAAAATAGAAACAATAAATATTAATCGTTTTTTGATAAATATAAACGATATTAAAAAACTGGCATGAAAATCACATTTGTTTAATTTCTATAATCAAACTGTTTGCATAAATATGCAATCAATTCAATGCAGTTTATTAATTTCTTAAATGCATCATGTTTGATATTATTTTGCTAATTTTTTTGCAAAATTAAACATAAACATGAATATAGTAAAAATGCATCTCTGTTAGGAAAAACAGTTTTTTGTTTTCTTCTAATTTAATGCACATCAACATTATATGCATAGTTAATTTATGAAGAAAAATGAATAGAAAATAATAAATTAGCAAAAAATAATTCTATATTTCATTGATAACATTTCAAAAAGAGTTAAAATGCATAACCTAAACATAAAGCTATTAAACACAAAAAAGTAAGTAAATCAATAAAAACAAAACTGTATCAGTGGTACAAAACATTTAAATAAAAACTGTTCACAATGTATTTTATTCAACGTGGTAAAAAAAAACAGCTGAGTGTAAACGATATAATTTCTTGGAAATACCAACGACCAGTGTATCTAACATAAATATGAAAGGAAAAAAAAGAGGAAGTTGGTGTTATTGATCACATATCTCATAAAAATGTCATAACTGTTAGAAAATACTTCATCAGTATGTCATTTCATAAAAAGTAGCAAACGATTTCATGCATACAAAACATAATGATAAAATATGCGAAATGTTCTTTCCTAATTCAATAAAAAGATGTTTCTTTACTTATAAACATTAAAATCAGCTTGGGGAAAATACATTTTCCTTGATGAATATATCCCTTCTGCCTTAGTTGATCATAGACTTAAGCATCAGTTTTGCAATTTTATACGATTTAAAATTTTCGGTTATAATTTACTCGCTATCCGTTTTCTCTTTCATTTTAATTACATTAAATTTTTCTCAAAATTATTAAGCAAATTACAAACGAAATAAGAAAAAAAAATTTTGATTTGCTTGAATAATGCAAATACAGAGAATTTATTTATTTAATATTTCGATTATTTTAAAGGATACCTGTTACAACAGTTAATAACTAAATGAAATTACTTTTGTTGTTTGATTTTTTTTATCAGGCAAACTATACAAATTGGTACATAGTATAAGAAAAGTGCATACAAAATAATGTTAATAAAATAAGTTACTGAATAAGCAACGTGCAATTATTTGGCAAATATAATAATTCTGGCAAAAAATCACTTGAGTTAAATTAATAGATAAGTTTCATGCAGTTATGTTACTAATAGTTTTGAAAAAAACTTTAAACGTGATGCTGAAATATTAGTTATACAAATGTAAAAATGATTTTAGAAAATCGAATGAAAAATAATAGCGCATTAATTTGCTTTTGGTACTGCTCGCAATACTAAATTAAATAAAATTACGCAATCTATATAATTTGTTTGTTTCATTATTTAATTTTTAGGTAACATAGATTATAATTATTGTAAAATTTATTTCGCTTTCAAATAATAGTTCGATGAGAAAACATTTTATCATTTCACTTATTCATTCAAAGTTGAAACTTTTGAAATAGCACTAATTATAAACTGCACTGATGAAAGTAAAAAAAAAAATTAAAGTATGAAAAGTGGCAAAAGAAATCATGAATGGAATGATGATAAAAATTTAAAAACGGAAACTAAAATTTCGTTGAAGAAGGATTAAAAAAAACATTGCATGGAAATTATTTTAAAAAACTGATTAAAATGTACTATAATAACGCTAATAACTAATAAAATATGCAACAAAAAAAAAATAAAGACTTCGAAAAATAGTTTTGTTTTCTGAATATTTTACTCATTTACACCTATTTACAAATATTATAATCCTTCTAATCTTTATTTCAATAACACAAAAACAATTATGATGATCATTTTAAATAGTTTTACATATTTTCAAAACTGCTCTAATAATTAATTACTCTAATAATGATAACGTTTATTTATATTTTTATATCCTTTCAACATTTTAACAAAAGTTTTTTGGACATAGTATTGCAATATATATATATAATAATAACNTATATATATATATATATTGCAATACTGTGTTCTATGTTTTTAATATTGATAATGAAACGTAATAAAACATATAAAGAGGGAAAAGTTTCGTATTTACATTCGTGCAAAACGTCACAGGTGAATGAAAATTGCGCGCACTCATGTCCTGACCATGCGGCACGCGCGAATGTAAAAGTAACCGTAACAAATTCACTTACCAGAACGTCACACATACAGGCAGTGATCCACTGATGAAATAAGTTTCGGTTTCGGCTGCCGCGTGTTTCTGGTTCTTGGGCTCAAAACCGAAATGAGAACCGCCGGCTAAGGAGAGAAGGAAAATAAATAAATAATTCTTCTTCTTCAGAGTGGTTTACCACGCCTACTTCTTGAAGGGAAAACGTTATTTCGTCGACCTTGCTTTTGTTAAGAAAACTACGAAAACTGGTTCCACTGAAACGGTTCTCTGGTTGCAGAGCGATAAATGGGTACTCTACTCTACAATCTCATCATCACTCGGACATCGCGGCGAGTGCGATCACCAAAAACTCAGTTCTCCGGCAGTAGTGGTAGAAAGGTTGCTGCAAAGATTCGCCAAGAAACTTCGCCAAGTATAGGATGAGTGGATTCTTTGGCGCAAAAGATAGGTAAACAGGGAAAGTCACGAACATTCAGCACATAATTCGTATTGAGTACCGATTTGTTTTTAATGATCAAAATATAGGACGGTGTGCCGGTATTGTTGCATCGTCACTTCTTTTTGAAGTATTTTCAACAAAATTCACGCATTCTGATTAAATATTGCATCAATATTAAATTTATAAGCGTAGTAGAATTTGAAATCTTCGTTCATTCAGTTTTCTTTTATCTGATTTAAATTACTATAAGATGATTTATTGCTATTATAGTAAGATTTAAAAGAAAAAATGGAAGTAACAAAGCGCTTTTAAGGCCCCTATATTAATATCTCTCTTTTTTATTAAATTTCCACTTTTAATTTTAAGATGCTAAAAAGAATTTTTTTTAAACATTCTTTAATGAGATTGTCTAAAACAGGAAAATAATTTTATTTTATAATATATAATTTTGGTTTCATTATCAATGTATGGCTTAAAGTTACATCACGCGGAGTAAAAAATTCTAGTAAAATTACCGTACTGTACGGTAATGAGATTTCTCGTAGAGAAAATGCTAACTCTGGCTAATAAAATCGAAATGCACAGCATTTGAATCATTCATTTGGTAATTGTTTCGCTCATATGGTAACGTTTTACCGATAATTCTGGTTTTCTAAATTCTAGTATAACGGGGGAAAGTTCTTATTACCACACATTTAGTAAAATATATAAATCTGAAAAGCAATTTTAACCGAATAAATGGTTTTCTTAATGCCATGCTAGGAGGCAGATAAAATTACCAGATTTTACCAAATTTACCAAAATTTACCGAACATAACAAAGCCATGCTTATAAAATCATAATTATTATAAAATCATAATAATTGTGATCTTATAAATCAAAAAATCATAATTTGTAGTTAATTTTACCAAATTCATAACTAAAGCACTTCAGTAAAAATTATCTATCTTTTTTGGTGTTCCCATAAGAACATGAATAGGTAAATTTAACTGTATTTTGGTAATTTTGATCATGCTTTTTTTTCTCAATTCAGTAAGAAGAGATTTATCGATCACTCAAAATGGTAAACCCAAGACCTATGCTTAGATCAGAACCAGCTGTTAAGTCCATGATTATCCCTATTTCGTTAAGTTTATTTGTGTCAGTTTTTCCTTGCACAATTTTATTCGACTGAAACGTTCTTAATACAAATCCCTGATTCACATTCTTTCTTACATAATTTAAATTAAGATATTCTGAAAATTTCTTAATTGTGTTTATGATAGAAATACGCATGTTATTAAATAATCTGTCGCATGATTCATTTTAAATTATGGCAATTAAAAATTAACCACTTTTTTTTTACAACGAAAAACTTGAAGAAATATATACTATTGAAGCATACTATATACTTGAGAATACATATTATATGCTTGAAAGATAGATAAAAAAAAACAGATAAAATGCAACCATGTTTAGTATTTATCACAAGAATCTTTTTTGCGCATTTTATCTGTATTTGCATGGTATAGTATAGAAAGGATTAAAATTCGAAGAATTTGATTAAAATTCATTAATTCGAAGTTAAAGTTTATCATTTTAATGTTAATGTCTAGCTTTTAGCAAAAAATCAGAATTATCAATAAAATGATGATTTTTCCATGCAGAAAATATTAATTTAAATTTGGCATTTTGAAAAATTAATTTAAGTAGAAAACTAATTTAACTTTGGCGTTAAACAATGTAAAATATAACTATTTTAAAAATGAAAGAAATTTTTCATTCGTAAAAAAAAATCGAAATATGTTTAAACCTTGATTTTAATATGCAGTAAAAAATATTAAATTGGAAATATTTTTGTAAAACAACTGTTGGAAAATGGGACGGAAATGTTGTTTAAGTTTCAAGATTAAAGAAAATATATTTATTTAAACTTAAAAAATTTCAAATTGTAATACTTTTTATTTATTTTTCAATGTTTTAATGTATTAAGAATTAGTTGAGAAATAAAGAATTTCAATAATCATACGGTTATTATTATTCCTTGACTCTAGACGGAAGCTGAAGAAAAGGAACTACTACGAAACATAATGAAATTTTTTGAACACTTATTTATTGATATTAATTGAATTCCCTAAATTTTCGTTTTTGAGTGTATATTATATCTTAATTAAAATTCAGATTAAGTTAGATTAAATGTAGATCCTAATTTAAATGTTAATTTAGAAGTAATTGTATTTTTAATGTCATGAATACAAAAGTATTTTGCATGAAATGAAAAAACTCAAGATGTTATTTGTAATCAAAATTAGTTATAAAACACATTTTTAGTATAATGAAATCTTAAATTTTTATTTTAATTAGAATACTAATTAAAATAAAATACTAATTTATTTTGTAGGAAATGCACATTTTCTCAAAATGCGTTCGTGTAAAATCAGTTTCATCATAAAATATAGTTAAATAAATTTTTTTCATTTAATTAAAAAAATATCCATATTTCCTACAAAGAAACAAAAAGTTAATTCATTACACTAATGAGAAAATGCTTGACATTTTCGGAATTCGCGTGTGCCATAAAACAGATATTTTTTTTTTGTTTTTTTTTTTGTAAAGGCTGTTGTCACCTAATCAACAGTAAAAGAAAAAAGGAAAGGCTGGAGCTCAATTTGGGATTTTTTTCCTTTTTTTTTTTAGATGGAATGGCGTTTCAGTTGAAAACCATCAAACGTGATCAATTCAAAATCAAAAGTGATCAATTCAAAATCAACTTACTTACTAGTACATATTGTTACTTATCCATTGTAAGTATGTAATAAATAAATAATATTGTAATTTCAATGTAATAATATTTAGTTATATTATAATATTATATTATAATTCAATATTATAATATAATATTATAATAATATTATAATTAGGTTTTTTAATTATTAATAAAGATATTAAAAATAAAAGCAAATATTCAGCTTCAGAATAACTACATACGACAATAAACAACAATTTATGCACCGCAAAGTTACGAATCCATTTTCAAAAATTAATCAAAGAATATGCGTATGCATGCTCAGTTTTTATAGCTTTTGTCCTTTAATTGCAGAAAAGCATTTTATTCACATTCTCACTTTCGATGAAACATACAGAAAGTATGAATGCGATTATGTACTAGTTACAGACTACCATACAACTATACACAATGTTGCACAATTAAAATAAGGAAGACGACTTTTTAGACTCCGAATCTAAGATTTTCGAGTAATTAATTTTCAAATCTTTTTTTTAGATAGCAAATTATTTCAGTAAAATAGTTGGAGTATGCGAAATTTGTAAGCTTACTTTTGTACACTCCTTAAAAACTTGTGAATGCTTCATACACTTTGACATTTGAAGATAATGTTATAAATGCAATAAAGTTATGAATGCAATAAAGTTATAAATGCAGTAAAGCTATAAACTAATATTAATTCTATCAATTTGGCAAAACTAATAAAACTTAATAATTGGTGATCAAGGGGGAAGAGTGGCATATGTCAATTTTTCACGAAAATGGCTATTGAATAGTTGCATTTTGAAGATTACTAAGTTTTGAATGATCAATAACGTGGAAAATCGGTTCTCCCCGAGAGTTATTATGCAATGAAGATAGATCGTGCTGGGGAAAAGCGTTTCCTTTCCACGTGTAGACAGTAGAAGAACGAATAAAAGTAAAATAAGGAGGACGACGGGAATACTAGCGAGAAAGTATTGATTGGGGAGGAATTTTGATTTAAAAAAACGGTTCATGTCCAACCCAATTTTCAAATTTAATTTTATTCTCAACATCAAAAATTTTAAATTTTGCTTTAAAATTATTATAGATTTTATAATGTTATTTTATTACCGTCGTTGAACAGCCGACCCAATTTTTGGGTTTACGACTGCTAATGTTCAACTCCGTAGCCTTGTAATTTTGAACCCAATCCAGAAGACAGGGGAACTTCTGGGTCAAGTATTGGGAGAAACTTGCCTCCGTAGAGGACTTTTTGAAGGAACTACCCTGCATTTGCGTTACATGGAGAGGAAGACCACGAGAATCTCTCACGGTTAACCTGGCGGCAAAGAGACTCTGACTCATGATTCGTCTATCACTGCGGATATTTCACGTCAGCACTGTAGTAGGTGCAAACCGGATGCGGATTTGTATCGACCATCCATCGCTGGAATTCGAACCCGGTTCGCCTCGTTGAAATGGTGTGACAGTCATGTATATTTTAATTTTTACATTTTCAATTAAATGTTTGTTCCCTGGTAATTCTTGAAATTCGCTTCTCTCTTAATCAGCTTTTAATGTGCATAAAACGTTTTCCCCTTTGATTTTCAATTCAAATGACTATAAATTTTTAATTATATTTTTCAAATAAAAAAAAACAAACAAAATACGTAAATTATTTAATGCAATACAAAATACGTAATACGTAAGAAGCAATAGTAAATACAAAATACGTAAGAAGCAATTCATTAAACATCAAAATGGTTTGAGCGTTCAAAAATACTTTGGCATAAAAAATAAAGCTTAAGATTAATACTAATCCTTTAAATCTGGAATAAAAATCAAAATTTTAAATTTGACCCATGAATTAGTTTTTACTTTTACTTTTGGGAGAACGAAAAAGCAAATTAAGAACACTTGTTAAGTAGCAAATCGTTGAACAGCAGAATAGTTTGAATGTGCAAAATTTCACGGAGAAAAAAAAAATCTTGTAAAGTTACCGTACTGTATGGTAATGGTATTTCTAAAAAAAGAAATCCTGGTAAATAAAACCAAAATATATGGATTACCATTTGCTAGATAATTTTTCCTTCATAGGGCAAATGTTTACAGGAAATTCTAGTTTTCAAAATTATAGTTCGTATTGCTACTCATTAAGTAAAAACTGTAAACTGAGCAATAAATTTAACCAGATAAATAGTTTTGATGCCGTTCT